AGATGTCGATCTGAATGGGGAGCATTTCTGGTTCTTAAAATTATCCTCCCTTGGATCACTTGATCATGGTTAGCTTGGCCTTATGGCAGTTTTTGGCATGCTTCTATTCATTGTTTCTATGAATGAGTGGAAACAGTTTGATGGTCCAGCACCAAGGTTATGCGGCTTGTTATTTCACTTTCCTTGCCATTGAAATGTGTCGTTTCAACTGGAATTCAAATAGGCCTCTGGAGCCAATCTTTATGATGGTTTTGTTATACTCCCTTTTGTTGAAACTTAACAAGAGGCATTTACCATTGCTTAATTATAGAAAAATTTATTGTGTCATAAGATTATATCTGAAGAGAGAAAAAGAACTCAATACAGAGGAGAATTTTGGATGCCTCAAGTATTTCTGTTCATTCATTGCCTTTTTCTAATTTTGGATGGATGGTTTTGTGTTCTGTTAGGTCAGGCTCTGGGATGCTGAAAGAAGATGCTGCGTGGGAATTGGCAAGGGTCATATGGGAGATGTTGGAGCTGTTGTCTTTTCAAATAAGTGGAAAAACTTTTTTGTTAGCGGTAGTGGGTGAGCTATGTGAAGAATATTTCTTTTAATGTGTAATAATGTTTAAGTGCTTTTTCTTAACTCAATTCTGAATAGGGTTTTCCCTACTACAAGTAGGTTACTAACTCCCTTTTCTCAATTGTGAAGAGAAATGAGAGAAGAGAAAATCATGATATTCTTTCGGCAGCTGTGTATCTGTCATACGTCTTTAAAGTGATATTCTGTTCCAAATATGTTTTTTTCTGTTATAAAAAATTTTGCTGCTTTTTACAATTGTCATGTTGGATTTCAAGTATTTTTACATATCCCTGCTTTATAGAATTTTAATGATGTAAATTTTCAACTTTAAATGCTCTGAGAAGTTCTAATGTATCTGATTTGTTATTTTCTAGAAATACCATCTCTGCAACAGGCAAAGTAAATAATGCTTATTGCATAGTTTGTGATTAATGTATAGTTAAATTTCCCATGTTATAGCAGCTTTATTTGTTTGGGCATTTTAGAATTTGAGATAGGAAGTGTGTACTATAAAAATAGCATTTATACTGCTTAATTTTATGTGATTTGAATTTATAGGGGAATTATTATAGCTTGCCTATAATATCATCCCAAGTAAAAAAATGCTCGTGTATTTTGAACTCTGGAAGTGAGCTTTATGACATAGTTTGACATAACTGTGAAGTTAAAATATACAGTTTATATATGTTCTATCATTATTGAACTTGAGAAACAATTATACAACATATTTTTGCCAATTTTGGGATTTTCCGAGGCAATATATGTACACATACACACACTTTATGTGGCATGCCTTGATTGTCAGGCTGTGTAAAAATGTTTACGTCATTCAAGATGAGGCATTACAGATTATCACTTAATTTGGCATTGCTTTATAATTAAAATTTATGTGCTATCATAGTTGTATTTGTTCTGACATTCTAAAAACCTGAGATAGAATGCTCATGTTTTAAAACTGCGTCATCCAAAGTGATTGGCGTTGTCCTCAAGGCTATTAGCTGTCCAACTCTCTAAACTTTAGGTTTCCATATGTGCTTTTCTTAGCAAAATGAGGCTTCATTGGAAGGTTTAAAAATGAGAATCATCACATTAAATTGCATTAGAAGAAATATGCAAAATTTAAAGTTTTGATATGTTTAAAGTTATAAAATCTTGCTATAGGATATCTCAAGTACCTGAACAACAAGCTACTATAATTTAAACAATTAAATTGCTTAAGTCCTTAAAATACTTGCGGATATTTTAAAAAAGGAAAACAGATAAGGAGGTTGGTGAATGCATTTGGATTTAGCTATTTCTTTGTGATTCCAGGCTTTAATGCTAAATCAT